ACTGTTTTTGTAACTCGTGTGTGTTTTTAACGTAATCTTGTGTGTGAATGAGAACTTAGTTTAGTACTCACATGCTGTGACAGCCGCTTTCTGTACGTGTGCGCTCAGAAAACCATATTTCAGAAGTTTAAACTAATATGGTTTAAAATGCGTTATTTCAGCGCGATAAACATGATAATCAGAACCAAAACAGATGTTTTTAGCAGGTCCAAGCTGTAATGGCGCAGCTCTGGAAAAGGGGGCGGGGAGAAGCAGCTCATTTGCATTTAAAGAGACAGGCACGAAAAATAGCTTGTTTCTAAATGATCTGTGGAGTATTTTGAGCTGAAACTTCACAGACACATTCTGGGGACACCAGAGACTTATATTACATATTGTAAAAAGGGGCATAATATGTCTCCTTTAAAACATTTTCTCTAAAAGTTTGAGATTGAATACTTGGCAAGAGTGTGATTATAAACACAGTGAGACAGTGACGGCACTACACCGGGGCTAGGGGAGGCTATAGCCCCGTCAGAATTTTGAATAGCCCCGGTTTACTCTGACGTCATCAATATCATTTATTTTCTTAGCACCCCCACATATTGGTCTAGCCCCCCTTAGCACTGGTAGAGAAAAAATTCTGGCGCCGTGCCTGGCGACTAATGAGTAGATGAGTTTACCCGTCTGGCAAAGGGTTATTATAGTTAACTAAAATCTAAAATCATTAAAAAAATAAATAAATAAGTAAAGGTTAACTGAAATAAAATGTAAAAAAATCGACTTTTTTGCTAGTTGTCAAGGCAAGATTTCTCATTTTCATTTAGTTTAACTTGATGTACTAAAATTAAAACTGAAAAATAAACAAACAAAAAAACACAACAAAATGACTAAAACTTTAATATTACAGTGAAAGCAGGAAATAGGACAAAACTAATATTAACAAAAACTATAAAAGTATTTCAGTAATACTCAAATAACACTGGTTCAGCATGACAACCTCTGTAGTCCCATTTAGACACTTGTTTTCGACCACCTTTTTCAAGACAAGTAAAAAAAAAAAAAATTATTACCAGTGTTGAGGAAAGTTACTTCAAAAGTGATGCATTACAATATTGTTACTCCATAAAAAGTAACTAATTGCATTACTTAGTTACTTTTTATGGAAAGTAATGCATAATGTGACTTTTGTGTTACTTTCTGTCACCTGAGCTGGGCTTGCTTATTTATTTTTAATAACAAAAACCGCCCAAAAGTTATATTTTTGGTAAGTGTAAAGGCCCTGTCACACCAAAAGTGAAATGAATACGCCTCAGGCTGAAGGAAGTGTCTCTGCCTCTGCACTTTCTCTCAGCACAGGACAGCAGAGCTGTCAGTGAATAAATGGGAAAATAAAAAGTTAGTCAGATATTTTCCTGTAAATGTAAAAGTAATGCATTACTTTAGTTACTTGAAAAAACTAATCTGATTACATAACTCACGTTACTTATAATGCGTTACTCCCCCAACACTGATGTATTAAATGATGTAGAATAAAATGTGAAAATATCTTGTGTTAAACCACAGACCTTGTTTCAGTCATTTAACAAAAACCCATTGACATCAAGATGATGAAACGAAGATGTACAGAAACGCACATTTTACAAAAATCTGTCATCCTTTCAGCACTCTATTGATTGCAGTGTTTTCAGTCAAGTTACAAGCATTCGTCTTCCATTGGTCAGTTAGATAGTCCCGCCCCAAAACTCACACCATTGGTTGAGCCTGTAAATTATAAGCACTGGCCATTTTTGATGTGTGAGTGTGTGTGTGTGTGTGTGTGTGATCATATTGTTGGATAAATTCCGTTTGTAAATGTTTTCTTTTAATTTGATAAGGAAATGTGTAGTTGTGTACAGAATTTATTTAGTTTTATTTGTGAACAGTCTGTGATGTCAAAGTGATGTTAAATCAGTTATAAAAATTTGTAAAATCCTATATTATTATTATGTACAGTAATTTATTGTAAGTGTTGTTGAAATGTAAATATGGCTGTGGAGTGAGGCGTCATGCTGCGTTTCCAAATATACAACCTGACAGACATAAAGATGCAAAAATGAGCTAATAAAATCACAATCTATACAGTGTTTGGCTGTCTGCTGCGAAATGTGTTTTCTTATGAACTATGTAGAGAATTGGGCTACCTGATCAATTCAGTGCAGATGATTTACACATTTTCTACAAATAGAAAGTAGCACCATTTTGTACTTATTTTACTGGAAATTAATGTTAAAGGGGTCATATGATGTTGCTAAAAAGAACATTATTTTGTATATTTGGTGTAATGAAATGTTTATGCGGTTTAAGGTTAAAAAAACACATTATTTTCCACATAATGTACATTATTGTTTCTCCTCTATGCCCCGCCTTTAAACCAATAAAACCCATTACAAACGAGGCATTTGTTGCATCCAGTGGGGACATAATTACTGATTGTAATGACTTGTACTGTGTTTTTACGCTTTGCATTGCGTATTGTGCCGTTGTGTTTCACAACGAAACACACAGTGCCTTCACGACATGGCGGCGGCGGCAGCAATACTACAGCGAGAATAAAAGTTACGCCTTCTTTCTTTGCGTGAACATTTGGGCGGCGGTATGCAAATCTTCCCACATGGTGACGTAGACATGTGGGGGCATGTTAGAACGAGCTGTTTTAGGTAGGCGTGGTTGACTCTTAACTTTTATAAAGAATATCTCTTTGGATTTGAGACTTTAGTCTTTACAACTTTACAGATCTTCTTTATGCACCAAGAGCTTGTAACACTCCAAAGAGAAAGGAAAAATTGAAATCGCATCATATGACCCCTTTAACACTTTAGTATAGGGACCAATTCTCACTATTAACTAGTTGCTTATTTGCATGCATATTATTAACATATTGGCTGTTTATTAGTACTCATAAAGCACATAATCTACACGACCATAGACTACATACCTAAACTTACCAACTACCGCACTATTAGCAGTAAATTAGGAGTTGAGGCAAAAGTCGTAGTTAATAAAGTCACCATAAAGGTTAACTGAGAGTGAGTGAGAGAGAAAGCTTAAAATGATTTTATCTCAACTATTTTCCAAGGTAACATTTCTCATTTTCATTTGGTTTGAGTTGATCTAATAAATTAACTAAAATATAAAACAGATGTAAAAAAAAAAAAAGTAGTAATAATAATAATATATAAAGACAAAAATGAAAAGGAAAATATACAAATAAAATGAATGTATATCTTTTATATGAATGTACAGTGTAGACCTTCTTTTCTTTTTGAAATAAGCCTCTTATGCTGCTTTTTAAGACTGCATTTATTTGATTAAAAATACAGTGAAAACAGTAATATTGTGGAATATTACTAAAATTTAAAATAAGTGTTTTTTGTTGTAATATATTGTAAAATGTAATTTATTCCTGTGATCAAAGCTGAATTTTCAGCATCATTACTCCAGTCTTCAGTGTCACATGATCTTCAGAAATCAGTAATATGCTGCTCAAGAAATATTTCTGATTATTATCAATGTTGAAAACAGTTGTGCTGCTTCATATATTTTTGTAGAAACTGTGGTACATTTTCTTTAATGAATAGGAAGAACAACATTTTTTCAGTATTCATTTCTTTTACAAAAAAATGACTGCTTTTTAAACTGTAGTGTAAATCATGTACATAAAAAAAAAGAGAAATACAGGAACAAAAAAGTAAACAAAAGTGGCACGCTGTCCTTTAACTGTGTGCTTTATTTGAAGTCAATAAACTCCCATTTCCTGTTTCATCCAGCTACAGTTCTCTTTTTTCCCCCCGTTTTGATGTTGCTGAAAAAGTTCTGTACACACAAAGTAATGGAAGCGTTTCATGTCAAACATTATTTTTCATTCATGCTACATTGTCTTTAATGCATAGTTCAGAGATGGACTCAAAACAATATTCAATGTTCTCCTCAAGCATCAGCACAACACGATCCGTCGGCGTGGAGCTCATTGATAGTCATATATATCGTACATGATCCCATTGTAAATCTACAGCCTAGCAGAGACTCCAGCGGTGCATCCGTGAGACCCTGATCATAGAAAGCTCCTTCCTGAGAATGGCTGCCAAAGATGTAGGATAAAAATGGATTTCATGTCCTTTACGGTCCACCCGCCTGTCGTATTGCTCAAATAAATATAAGTACGTAGTACAAATGTGAGTCAGATTCTTCCTCATGTACAAACAACTTTCTGACGAGCACAACAGTCCTGGCGATGCATATTTAATAACTCTACTCTAACAATCTGTAAATCTCGCATGCCTTCAAGGATGTAGACTATCTGTTAATAACTAATATTCATTATTCACTTTCACCACAAGTCAAATGTTTCCACAAAATAATGGTTTATGAAACACAAGCAGAACTAACCTAAAATGTGTTGCATGAATGAAGCGCAATGACCAGAAATATTCGCAAAAGCATTTCACGCTATTGTTGCACTGTTAAAATGATTTAGCAAAAAATGTATTTTGCTGTGTATTTCTGAATACATTTCTCTATAAATCATTCAAATAATTATTTGGATTTATGAAGAAACGCATTCAAATTCCTTCCAAACTAATTTCTGTGTGAATCATTCATAAAATAACTTGGATTTACGATTAAATAAGCAGATTCAAAATTCACTCCGAATGAATTTCTATGTAAATAATTCTTAAAATCATTTAGATTTATGAAAAAATGTTCACAGAAACACCGAGAAAATGTATTCAGAATGAATTTCTATGTAAATAATTCATAAAATCATTTGGATTTATGAAAAAAAATACATAGGAACACATTTAAAATTGGTTCTAAACAAATGTCTGTGTAAATCATCCATAAAATCATTTGGATTTATGAAAAAATGTATACAGAAATGCATTTAAAATTCAGTCTAAACAAATTTACATGTCAATCACTCATAAAATCATTTGAATTCACAAAGAAATATAAACATTCAAAATTCATTTTTGAAAAACATTTCTGTGTAAATTCTTAAAAGACTGTTTATAAAGAAACATTCAAAAATCATTCTGAACAATTTACGTTTAAATAATTCATAAAATCATTTGTATTTATTAAGAAGAAATATACAAAGAAATGCATTCAAAATTTGTTCTGAACGAATTTGTGTAAATCATTCATGAAATAATTTGGATTTATGAAGAAATTCATTCAAAATTCGTTCTGAACAATAACTCTGCACATCAAGATATATAAAGAGAAACATTCAAAATTTGCTCTGAATAAATGATTCTTAAAATCATTTGGATTTATGAGGTAATGTGCATAGAAACACATTCAAAAATTCATTCCGAACAAATTTCAGTGTAAATCATTCAGAAAGTCATTTGAATTTACAAACAAATGTACACAGAAACATTCAAAATTCCTTCTGAACAAATTTCTGTGCAAACCATTCATAAAACCATTTGGATATATGAAGAAATGTACACAGAAACACATTAAAATTCTTTCTATTTCATGAAATAAAGCTGTTAAATAATAATAAAGAAAATCCAGAGCTGCTGAAACTGATAAATCATTCATTGTAATGTGAAAATCTCCCATTAGTTTTGAAAAGTCATTCTACTTCAAGCCTTATAAAACACTAAATGTCCTTTTCACATTCCAAATCTGTGTTCATAAATTACAGATGATCTCCTTAAAGTCCCCAAGGAGTGACGTTATTACTGTTGCGTACGTTCCTCTTCACACCGTGTCGTGCATGAGAAAAAAGGTTGAGATCCCGTCGTGGTGAAATGATCCGAATGTATTCCTGAGAAAGGTGGTGGATAATGATGCGTCTAGTTGATTGTACAAATGAAATAAGGCAAATAGAGATTGTCACGTAATTCACAGCGCCGCCTACAGGGCTTCGGTTCTCGCCTTCAGAATTCAGAGAGACGTTCAAAATCAAGCCCAAAGTCTGTAGGAGGTTGAGTATTTCTCGTCTACGTCCATCACGTCGCATGCACTCCCAAAGGCGAGAGTCGTATCAAAGTGGCGCATGCCTGGAAGCCCTAAAGTTCACTTATCAAGCCCTTACAAAACACTAGCAAGTGCACTGGGTGAAAACTACACGAGTGCTAACGTTTCATCAGTTAGCATGAAGAACAATCGGTTCAATCCAACCGTGCGCTTTGGGAAGGAGGCACAATTCCCGCTTTGTGCTTCTCGTGGTTCGTTTAGAGTTCCTCCGAAGGTCAGCGTCACTCACTCTTCTCTCTGGTCCACTTGATCATGGTTTCTGGAGAGCGGTAGAGGAAGATGAGTTTGGCGTACAGGTCTTCCTCCAGGTCCAGTTCCCCCGTCTCTCGGACCAGGAAGATGTCGGTGCAGAGCTTGAGGATCCGGTCCACGTTGGGCAGCTCTTCGAACATGATGGTGTGTGAGATCCCGCTGAAGAACTCGCGCACGAACTTCCCGATAACCAGAACCACCGACATGTACAGACCCATGATCCTGTGCACACGCAGGTTCACACATTCAGCTCAGCATTATCAATGAATTACTTTTGAATGAAGTTCCTTACAGACTGATAAAATCATGTTCATTTGGTTCAGATGGGATGCATATCATATCATATAACAAATATCAATGGAAGCCAGTTTGCACCATGGCATTAAAGAAAAAAAAACATTTTCTCTCAAAAATAGTATTTTCTAGCAATTTTACATTTCTTTGGCACAAATCAAGACTTTTTTCCTGTCAATTCTGAGAATTGCGAGAAATAAAGTCAGAATCGTGAGATGTTAAAGGGATGAAAATTCAATCAAATAATGCCTATTCAAGATTATTTCAAACTTCATTTAATTTGAAAATATATACTTTATTATTTAAAATATACAGTACACTACAGTCCAAAAGTTAAGAGTTGGTAAGATTTTTTTTTTTATGTTACTCTCACCAAGGCCACATTTATTACATAATAAAAACAGAAATAATGTGAAATATCACAATTTAAAATAACTTTTCCAGCATCATAACTCCAGTCTTCAGTGTCACATGATCCTTCAGAAATCATTCTAATATGCTGATTTGCATCTCAAGAAACATTTCTGATTATTATTAATGTTGAAAACAGTTGTGCTGCAAACTGATTTTTTTTTCAGGATTCTTTGATGAATAGAAAGTTCAAAAGAACAGCATTTTTTGTTTTGACGATTTAATTGATCCTTGCTGAATAAATGCAGTAATTTCTTTCAGAAATAAAATTCTTAGTAATCAAACTTTTGACATAAAAAGATCTATGTAAATTTTGGTGCATCACTATATTGAATTTAACTCGGCTAAAAACGTATTCTCAAACAGACAACACTCAAAATGTCTCTTTAATGTTAGTACTGTGAGTTTTAGTTGTAGAAGCATATCTACTGAGAAGCCCCACCCATAGCGAACTCTCATTGGTCAAAAATCCACCTCCTCTTAACTATATATGAAAGCTCAACTATGTTCTGATTGGATGCACAGTTTTGTCCCTTTAGGAAGGACAGAAAAATAACTTCAGACTATAATGTTTCATGTCACTCACCCATAACCAGCCAGAAAGCCCAGACTGGGTGGACTGACTTGGTCACTGATGATGTAGAGCTCCAGACCAGATTCATTTGCATTCCTGGCTGAGCCCACAGATAACGGCCCTGCTTCTGTCTGATTCACGATCCACCACTCCTGGATGCCCTCTGCACTATCTTTACTGGATTTATGTAAGGACAGTGTGATGTTCATGTATCCTTTATCTTAGAGAGCACACAGAAGAGTGAAGAGAAACAGGCATGTTGAAGGCTGTACAAATGCATAGCAATGCACCAAATAATGGAGAGCTGGTGTATTACCGAGGTAAAGCTGCTCAATAGGCTTGGCATTGGAGTCGCTCGGTGCTCTGATGTATCTTGGAAAAATGCATTTGATGGTCCTTAATAAAAAACACCATTACAAATTATCATTCAGGCGAATGTCTTTTTAGTTGTAAAAAAGTAAAGAAAAATATGTCTGTGTTTGAAGCTTAAACTCACACTTCTTTGTGCTCAGTTCCATTCAGCAGATTTGTTAGATTAGTTCTCGTTTCTTTGTCCAAGTCAATATAGTGTTTCCCTATCGCAGTTTCAGCTTTGGCACCTAAACTGAGGTTCCTAATGGACAAATGCAGCAAATGAAACCAAACAGAAATTCAGTTAATTCACATAAAATAAATTATTTGAGTAAATTCCTATTACCACATTGACAAAATTATTCTATATATAATGATATATTTGTATAAAAACATTAAAAAGGATAGTTCACCAAAAAATTGAAAATTTGCTGTTAATTTACTCATCCTCAGGCCATCCAAGATGTAGGTGACAGTAAAGAAGATTTTTAGTTGAAACGGTCCTTGGCAAAGACGCTGGCATAGGGCTCGAGCACCCACGGAAAAACACGAGATAGTTTCTGTTCATTTTAACCAATAAAAATGGATTGCAGCTTTTAAAACTTTATTCTCGTTTTTATAGTTCATTTGAGGCAGTTTTTAGTGTTCTTTTAATGGCAAATGTCGAGAGTGCATTATTGTAATACGAGAGAGCACCAGCACGAATCTCTCGGCTTGCAGCGGGCTTGCTCTCTCACATATAGAGATTATGGCTCTGCACTCACTCAGATATTGTGTGTGCACCCTCAAACTTTGTCCTGTGTGTGCGCGAATAAGTGCTTATTGTAAACAGGTATTCATTAAATAATTTTATTTAGTGAAGCACAACCCTCATAGAAAGAATTTGTGTATTATAATTTGTTTGGTAATATATTTGCAGTCCGTATGTTTCACTTCGCAAGATAAATTTTGTGTAGTGAATTCATCGAACGGAGTATACTCTAGAAAAAACTAACATCCAGTGTAATTAATTACTGATAATGAGAATGCTGCAGGCATTTGTTGCGTATGTGTATAGCCTAGCCAGTTATCATTTGCTCGTGGAAACAGCGGTGAAAATGTGTTAAAAAAAAAAAAAAAAGATGCACATTCACCTTTGGGGGAGGGGGTCAGGTTGAGCACCCACTGGCAGAAACATAAATCGGGAGCCTATGGTTCTTGGTGATTCATATAATGCAAGTCAGCAGCTACCAGCACTTTTAGAGTCAAAAACAGATACCAGGGAACACAAAAGTAAATACCAGCAGCTCCTGACGATATATTGAGGTCTAATGAAATTAAACAATTTACATGATTTACAACATTATTACCTGTAATCCAGAGCCTTAGGCAAACGGGGAAATCTGATTGTTTTCCGCACACTTGTTCTTTCAGACAGTTTGTTTCAAAGAACTGGTTAAATTCACTAGTTTGTTTACATAATCACGCAATGTATACGTTTCATAATGTATACGCAATTATTAAAGCACCCAATAATGATGTGAAACGTGGATGTTTTACATGTCTAAAGCATATAAAGTGAATGAACTGGTGTTCATCAGCTCACCTTTTTACAAAAACAATGAGAAACCATAAAAACTTTAATTTGGCCCCTTCATTCAAGTGCTCGGTTCACGTATGCGCATATCAGCAGCTCATCGGTCTTCGGTCCGAGTCTAACCGTTTCCTCAATTCAGTAACTGGAGCACTGAATCAGTTCATTCACGCTGCTATTTTGGCTCATTTTGAGTCGACTGACTGAAAGTGAGTTTTGTTCGTGTAACATGTAGATCTGTGCTGCTCGAGCCGTGAATTGTTTCAGAGAATTCAGTCTCTGAAGAAGCCCCATCCTTCCCGAAGGAGGTTTCGGAAGCACTTACATATATGAACAACCGTCTAGGAGCATATGGAAGATTAGAGGTGATTGTAACCCTCTTCTACCGGTTCTCACGGATTCATCGAGTGAGGGCCTGGCGCCAAGGGGACGGAGGAGCTCGACAGGGTCTACCGTACGGACTCTCTGGAGCGGTTTAGCAAGCTGACACTAAACCAGGGCCTCTCAGTGCCTCTACTCATTTGAGGTGAGAACACAGGAGGATACCAGCTCCACACGAAGGCTATAGAATCTAGCGAACGTGTTGGGGGTCGCCCAGACCGCAGCTCTACAAATATCTGTCAGCGAGGCGCCACGAGCCAGCGCCCAGGAGGATGCAACGCTTCTAGTAGAGTGAGCTCACAACCTGAGCACCCTGTGCCTGATAAGCCAGGGTGATGGCATCCAATATCTAGTGAGCCATCCTCTGCTTAGAGACGGCATTCCCCTTCTACTGGCCTCCGTAACAGACAAAGAGCTGATCTGAGGTCCTAAAGCTTTGTGTCCGGTCTACGTACCATCTCAAGGCTTGGACGGGACAAAGCAAAGCTAGAGCTGGGTTTGCCTCCTCTGGGGGTAGCGCTTGCAGGTTCACTACCTGATCCCTGTAGGGGGTAGTAGGAACCTTGGGCACGTAGCCAGGCCGGGGCCTCAGGATTACCTGGGAGTCAGCCAGCCCAAACTCTAGGCACGATTATTTGACCGAAAATGCGTGCAGGTCCCCTACCCTCTTGATGGAGGCCAATACAATCAGGAGCAGAGTTTTCATTGAAAGGAACTTTAGCTCGACTGACTGCAAGGGCTCAAATGGGCCCTGCTGTAGTGCTCTGAGCACTAGAGACAGGTCCCAAGAGGGTATAGAGAGGGGACGGGGAGGATTTAACCTTCTCGCCCCCCTAAGGAACCTGACGACCAAGTCATGCCTCACTACCGACTTCCCTTCCATGGGGTCATGGTACGCAGCAATCGCAGCCACACAGACTTTAAGGGTGGAGGGAGACAGCCTTTGCTCCAACCCTTGCTGCAAAAAGGACAGCACGACTCTGATCGGGCATCTACGGGGGTCCTCTTGGTGAGAAGAACACCACTCGACGAACAGGTTCCACTTCAAGGCATAAGTGCTCGTAGACGGTGCTCTTGCTGAAGTGATGGTGTCTACTACCTCTTGGGGTAGGCCACCTAGAACCTCCGCGTCCCGTCCAGGGACCAGACGTGAAGTTTCCAGAGGTCTGGACGCGGGTGCCACAGGGTGCCCCGTCTTTGAGTCAGTAGATCCTTCCTCAGCGGAATCTGCCAGGGAGGGGCTGTCATAAGGAGCATTAGTTCCGGGAACCAGGTCCGAGTGGGCCAGTAGGGCGCCACAAGCAGGACCTGCTCCTCGTCTTCCACGATTGTGCACAGTGTCTGTGCGAGAAGGTTCACTGGGGGAAAGCATACTTGCACAGGCCCCGCGGCCAGCTGTGTGCCAGTGCATCCGTACCGAGTGTTCCTTCGGTCAGGGAGTAAAACAACTGGCAGTGAGAGGTCTCTGGAGAGGCAAACAGGTCTACCTGAGTGGCTCCGAAACGTCTCCAAATCAGCTGGACCATCTGGGGATGGAGTCTCCACTCTCCGGGGAGCGCAGCTCGTGACAGCTCGTCGGCTGCATGGTTGAGCAGACCCGGAATGTGAATGGCACGAAGTGACCTCAGATCCTTCTGACTCCAGAGGAGGAGGTGGCAGGCGAGTTGCAACATGCGGCGGGAGCGTAGACCACCTTGTCGGTTGATGGACGCAGGGGGCCGCCCTCGGCGACGAGCAGGCTGGGGTGCTGCGGCCGCTGGACGGGTGGAGGCAGCAGCTGCCCACCGGGGCAGGACATGTCGGATCACCTCAGTCTGCTGAAACTAGCACTGAAACTAGATGAGTTTTGAAAACAATGTTTGATTTTCTGTTATTAACAGAGGTGGGAATGTCTGTAATCACCCAGCACACACTATCAACTATATATGTACAGTATATAGTCTAGCAACACCTCAGCAACTGCATAGCAAGAGCCTAGCAACCACCCAGAATATCCTAGCAACACTTTAGGAAACAACTAGATCATCTAACTAACCTGGAACATAAAACTATTTACGTTTTTTAAACAAGACTTTAAAACAAGCCACCATAAATTTGTTTTTCAATCTAGTTATTACAGTTTTCTTAAAGGGGTCATATGATGCGATTTCAATTTTTCCTTTCTCTTTGAAGTGTTACAAGCTCTTGGTGCATAAAGAATATCTGTAAAGTTGCAAAGACTAAAATCTCAAATCCAAAGAGATATTCTTTATAAAAGTTAAGAGTCAGCCACGCCCACCTAAAACAGCTCGTTCTAACACGCCACCACATACCTACGTCACTATCTGGGAAGATTTGCATAACGCCGCCCAAATGTTCACGCAAAGAAAGAAGGCGTAACTTTTATTCTCGCTGTAGTATTGTTGTTGTCGCCGCCGCCATGTCGTGAAGGCACTGTGTGATTCGTTGTGAAAGCGAAACTACTTTGATAATGTTCTTTTTAGCAACATCATATGACCCCTTTAAATTCTTACACACAATTCAAATACATAGATGACTTTCCTGCTCAGTGAACACTTGTAAGATGAATGACACTGTAACAAAAAAACTCTTATTAGGATTCAGGAATTATTTTGCAGCTCAATGTCTATTACAGTATACAACATAAATTAAATTACAAATACAGATGTATAATACAGCAATCAACTTTTGGGGAAAAATCATTTTCATTTTACTACTGTAAAAAAAACTTCAAATACCAATGAATTATATACTGTATGAACTTGGTAACTTGGCACAGTTTACTGAAAGCCATGTTTTCTTGCGATTATTTTACGTTACGCTGTCATCACCGCTGCTGAAAAGTAGCACATGAAACACTGCTTACATTTATATTTTATTCTGTAGTAATTCTGGGGTGGAACAGCTTTTTCTTAGGGTGGCATTTGCCACCCCATGTCACCCCGGTAGATCCGCCCCTGCCAAGGAGCACAGTTTCAAGTAAAAATCTTTACTATTCTACTGAAGAAAAAGTGTCACTTACATTTTGGATGGACTGAGGGTGAGTAAAACAGCAAATTTTTATATGATAAATATTTTACCTAGTAAAATATCATAAAATGTTTGGATCTCATGGTGAATCTGGACAGCATTTTATTTTATTTTACCCATTAGCCACCAGCAGACCAGGTTCTTCTAAGTGCTCAGTGTAACTGTATGCTGGTGTGATGTTGAACTCTACAGTACCTCTGTATGGACCAGGTGAAGGTGAGAGGAAACTTCTCGTCTGTGTTATTGAGCATTTTAATGAGGTTCTCCTTGCTCGGGGGGCTGATGGTCCAGAGTGAGTTGGAACTTCCTTCTAGTTTGGCTATTGTCAAATCCTCATAAACATAAGACTCCAGGAACTGCATGGCATTCTGTAGGAGACACAAGCATCTTTAGCTCTATTTAGAAACAATCCGGAATGCACAATTTATCATCATCATTGTTATCAGACATATACAGTGTGTATATATATATATATATATATAGTAGTATTTCAAAAGTAGTATTAATTCCTAAATAAACCCTAATTATTTTACAAACTTGGTTAAATTGGCAGGCAAATAATGCCACAATATCCAAATAGTCCTAAAACAAGTTCCATTTTATCTATGCAAAATTTAATTTCTTATTTTTTATTTTGATTATGCAGTGAAATGTGAAAATAGAACTCTAATGGTCATTATTAATCAGCTATCTGAAATCATTTCTATATATCGGTAAATTACTAGAAAACATGTTCTTGTCAAAGTACAAAAGAGCTGCTGTGATTTGAACAGACGCTTAGTTCCTTACTGCATCAGAGCTGTATATTTTTGAAAACTTGTCAAACTCTGCAGAAGACACATTTTTCAGATGGTTCTGCTGGGCACTCATCGTGAAGATCGGCTGAAAACAATAAAACAAACAAGAACAGAAAAAAGAGAGCCATGTTAATTATCAAATGGTAGGCAACTTGAGATGTGCACGCTTCCCATAGGATAGACAAAAATATCAGATCTCTTAGACAGCACTGAACAAATAGAGACATTTATTTATGTCTCCTGCTTCTCAGATGTTTCTCCTGAGAAAAGACCCCTGTAATTTCACACGTCTTTTCTAGAGTTTCAGAAGAGATCTCAACAATGTCTCAATCTGTGCTCTGTTTTGCCTAGATACTAAAGTCTGAAATCAAAAGTCAGTGATCCAGTGATGTTATTGTAACTAAAACTAAAACTATATAAAAAATAATTGCTGGTAATTGAAATAAAGCTGAAATAATATAAAATATTAATATTAGATAAAAATTAAATGAAATAAATAAATGTAAGTTACTGTACTAAAATAACTAAAACTGAAATAAAATATTAAAGATAAATAGAAAACACTCCAAATAAAACTGACATAACAATTACTAAACTAAAATTATAATAAAAAATAATAAATTATAATAATGAATAAAATAAAATTTAAATAATAAATAGAAAAACAATAAGTAATAAAATAATTACTAATATAAACATAATATAAAATGCATAATATAAAAATGACAAAAATTGTAACTAAAATAAAAATTTATACAAATCAATAACTAATAAAAATGACAAAACACATAATAAAATTACTAAAACAAACTAAAAGTAAAATGAAAACTGAAAACTTAAAAAAAATCAAAGCTTATTAAAAATATTATATTAAACAGTATATGAATAATATGAACTCAAAAATATCTTTCCACGTTCATTTTATAGATTTATAATCTTACTGGATGACTCGTTTGCGTATATTTTGATTTCTGCAAATGTCTTTTTAGGAGAAACACCTGAGACAGAGTAGAAAGCAATAAAATGTTTCTTGGTTTATATTGAAAGTAGGAACTGGCAGACATCTGAAATGAGCATGCAGATGAGCAGAACAGTGCTGTGCACCTGAAGTCCTCCCAGCGTGAGCGTGACGGACACGTCCAGCGGAGTGTTGACCACTCCTGCCACAGATTTGATCAGAGACATGAAGAGCAGCGGGAACCAAACGATGCAGATCAGGAGCATCACGATCATGCCACCCATTCCATACTTCACAACCTTCTTCTTCTTCTGCCCGCGCGGCTGAGGGTAACGCTGTCACACGACACACAAACAGATGCTCAGGATGCTGCCTTAGGAGGAAGCTGCCTGCTATTTCTCGCTTTCTTACCTTCTCGGACTCCCTCCAGCATTTGAGGATGAAGATGTGAGCGTAGATGTCCTCCACACAGATCCAGCTAGACAAGCTGAGCGTCGTGTCCGTCCAAACCCAGTCCATCACCGCCCGCAACTCCGTCAGGAACGGGATCAGACGGAACCTGGGACACACAACGCACACTAAGCAGGCGCATCTGTTATGTATAGAAAACAACTGGCTTGCTTTAACTTCCTTTTACTTATAAAAATTAGTGGTCGACCGATATGCCAGCTCATGTTTTACGTTTTTTAAAGGGTTAGTTCACCCAAAAATTCTGTCATTAATTACTCACCCTCATGTTGTTCCAAACCCGTAAGACCTTCGTTCATCTTCGGAACACAAATTAAGATATTTTTGATGGTATCTGAGAGCACTCTGACCCTGCATAGACAGCAATGATATTACCACGATCAATGCACAGAAATGTAGCAAGGAGATCGGTAAAATAGTCCATGTGACATCAGGGGTTCAACCGTAATTTTACGAAGCTACGAGAATATTTTTTTTTGTGTGCAAAGAAAACAATAATAACATAATTTTTTCAGCAATTCTTCTCCCCGAGTTACCGTCTTCCGCGAACGTAATCAACGTAATCAGTGTTCAGCATGCGTGCTTTCTACTAAACGTAAACAATGCTGATTCAAAGACAAAGCTTCGTAAAATTACGGTTGAACCCCTGATGTCACATGGATTATTTTACAGATGTCCTTGCTACGTTTCTGCGTGTTGATCATGGTAGTTACCTTGCTGTCTATGGGAGGGTCAGAGAGCTCTCAGATTCCATCAGAAATATCTTAATTTGTGTTCCGAAGATGAACGAAGGTCTTACAGGTTTGGAACGACATGAACGGTGAGTAATTAATGACAGAAATGTCATTTTTGGGTGAACTAACCCTTTAATTATGGGCATTGGTCGCTATTTTTTTTTTCATTCCACAATAACAAACACTAAATTACATGCAACGTCACCCTATAAAAACTGCTGTTGAACATGTTTCTCACCCCTGGAAGAGGAAGAGGTTGACGTAGCTGTAGCTCTTGGTGAGGAAGTTTCCCAGGATGCGAGTCGGATAGCCACAGCGGATCTGATACGCTGACAGGCCAAAGTAAATGCATTTCACAAAGTACCACAGCTGAGCGATAGTGTTCTGACTGAAGCGCCTGCACAGAGGAGATCAAACACATGTTAGGACATCGAGGGCATTTCTTCTTCATGTTTTACCTAACAGGGATTACGGAAGACATCTCTGCATCATTTGTTCTCACAGACGTTTTTTTCTGTCTTATTACTACAGTATATTTATTTTTCAGTTTCTGGATTCCGTTTTAATGCTATACATTTTTAGTAAACAAAGAGAATGTCTAATGAATTGAAATCATGAAACTTTAAGTTTAACAAAAATTACATTTTTAGGACCCTATGGAAACCAGTTTCGGGATTCAGTTTTTATTATTTTAATGTATTTATGAAACTTTTTATATGGTAATCAAATTAAGGCATAAAACATTAACAATTTAACCTGTCTTTGTAAATGTAGTGAAATGACAGTTTAACAATTATGTTTATTTTTTGTAAAATTCCATGACTTTCTGCTTTATTCTATATATATATCAGGGCTTGAAAACGAAAAAAAAAAATTCAATCGGTTCACGCCGAGCAGAATAGATATTTTAACGTTTCTGTTCCTGCGTTCCTCTGTATTATTACCGTTCCGAAACCGGTTCGGGTAGAAGAAAAACCGGTTAATAAGGTTATTTTTTAAAAACAAATTTCTTTGCCTATAATAGGCTAATAATAATAATAATAATAACAATAGCCTAATAATAATAATAATAATAATGTACAGCGTTTTCTTTACTCAAAAAGAAAAAGAAAAATAAAAACAGGAAGAGATCTGGTAACGTTAGCCTATAATCCGCTGCGCTTAGTCACAGCCAATACAGCATCATCTTTTCAAGATTTTGGCCAAATGTATCTAGAAATTTAGAAAAAATCTATCAACACTTTAAAGACATTAAAGTATTTTTAAGATATTTAAAAATGTTTGCTGCATTGTTAAAAAACACTACTTGTATAAGATTGCGTTTTGAGAGTGAAAAAAAAAACATAAGTCGCGTATAGGCTCACGTCGCATTAGTTTTATTAGCCCTATTACATTCAGAAATAATGTAGGCTAAAATACCAGTAGGTTATAAACACAGTTATTAGTTTCTCTCAACAAATCCTCTAAAGTTAAGGCTATGCGTTTAGGCTATAAAAATGTCAATCCAAAAACAAATTAATTTAAGGTGAAACTGATGCCTACCTAATATTATTTATTATAGGCTTTGTACTTTCATCAACGTAAAACTGAACACAACAGACTGAACAACGGAGCAGTGTAACTTTTTATTTGATTCTTTAATTGTATTTTATTTTGATAATGAACAGGCTGCAATGTCGCAAAAATATGTTGTGTGTGCACGTGAGGCGCCGGTGTAGTGCCGAAATATGCACCCTGCCAAATTATGCACCCCCTAGTATTGGTAGGTTTAGGAGTAGGTGTGGGGGAGGGGTTAGGATTAGGCAATCAGGTAGCGACTTCAACGAGGGGGTGCATAATCTGGCAGGGGTGCAGAATTCGGCACAACACCGGCGCGATGATCCAACGCTGGTTGGTTATACAGATTGAAGAAAACAATTCAAAACTGTCAAGCTTTTGCAAAATAAATAAAAATGTGAAGCTTTTGCAAAATAAAGAAAACTCTCTGCAGTCTCGTTTTGCTTTCCGAGAATTTTGGAACGCGTCACAATGAACCGTAACTCAGCACATTTTTTTCTTTCGTTCTGTTAATCTGTCAATGATTTAAGTGAAATATATTTCGTGTATATGCCTATATTCCTTTTTATGTAAGCCTATAGCTTTATTCTGTTTTCTCCGTTCACAGAAGCGCTGCAGTTGTTTGTGATCTGTTGAATCCTCCTTACACTATCCTCGGATAAACTCGCAATCCATTGCGACTTACCTATGATGAGTTCACAGCTAAGCGGGCATTTCACTCTTTGGCGTCAGCGTCACATTTGCATAGACTACGACTGGAATTCGTGATTGGTTGACAGCAAATTTCAAATATTAAATGGAACGATAAAATAACGTTATTAACCGGTTAATGGCCATTTCATATTTTCCAATATGAATTGGAATATATTGGATTGATATATATATATATATATATATATATATATATATATATATATTGACTATATATATATATATATATATATATATATACA